GAAAATGACCAAGAATGGATTTGCATCTGGAGAGCAGTCATCATACTACCAGAATTCGCATATGTCACTACGCGATCAGCTAATCAACAACGACGACTGGTGAGCGAGATACAGAATGAAGAACATACAGCAAATACTCCCCAAAGTACAAGTCGACGGTCAACAGCACGAAATACTCGAGACGATAGCTCATGGGATAATGAAGATGACCTATTTGATTTGTCAACTGAGCTCGCACAACAAATTCGCGAACTCACTGAGATGGAAGTCCTGGATTCAATTACAAGGATTGAATTATTGCAGCACCGACCATACGCCCAGATCACTCCGTTCCTCGGTAAGCTGGACGAGAGCGAAAATTCGATGCAGTGGTTGCGAGGATCTGTCTACTAGATGAAAAGAACCCCATCTCCACCAAACGAGTGGTGCGTTGCGTCCAACTGAGTCTAAGAGATGGTGCAGTTCACTGGCACCGAGCTCTATCCAGGAAAACGAAGCAAACATGGAGTCTATCGAGCGATAAGTTTAGCTGTTACTACTATTCGCAGTTTAGTCAGTTAGCTAGTACTCAGTACTATCGCACGAAGAGGATGGAGAAAGAACATATTCGTGACTGCCTGGACAGACTCAATGGATATGCGCGCAACGCAAATATCAGGTTCGCGAATGGAGGTCGTAATGCTAGGGAGCATGTGAAACATTTCCTGGAGACTTGCGGCATAAAGACCGCGAACGACAACTTACCATGCAGTTGAGAGATATCTACACTTTCGAGGATGTGGTGAGTGATATTATAAAGGTGGAGAAGCGAGTTTCTAGCCGTGAATCGTCTAAGTATTCGTCCCGGAAGGACGAATCTCGAAATGCGTACGGTCGGAGTGACAATCGCAATCGCACGCCTGGCCGTAGTTGCAGTGAACCACGCAGTACACGAGTCGCACTTGCTGATGCGATACTGTCGAATCTCATTTCCGAATTGCAGGTTCGCACAACTCAAGAGGATGTCAACGATTACTAGGAAGAAATTCCTGTGTGTGCCGATGAAACTATTGGATACGAACAGAATCAATCCGACGTCGACCATTGCTTAGAAGAAGTTCAGATTGAAGGCCCTATGCTGCAGAAGGTGAAGGAGTTGTCGCTGCTGCGAACGACAATGAACGTCGAGCTGCAACTAATGGAACTTTTGCTCGATGTGATAAGCGTCCACAACAAGGTGGAACATTTCCAAGTGGATTTAATCAAGGCGGTTATCGACCTAACCCTGGACAAGATATACGGTTCAGTGATAGTCGAGGCGGATAGGGTTTCTCGAAAAATCAGTATGGACCATGTGCTGCCTGGGGTGGTCTCAATCATTCAACCACTATTGCTTCCGGCGATGCAAATTCTGCCAGCAGGTGCATGATACAGGTCCATGTGAAGCCTTCAACGAGCTAGCCAAAATCCTTCGGATTATAGTCAATAAAAGTGACATTAGTCCGGAACTCAAGAAATTGCCTCCGGTGGGCATTTAAACTAGGCTGCCTGCCAACTGAGACTGGGTTGGAACCAATCGGGCAGCCACAGTCAGTCGAGCGAGTGATCGACGCAGATTGTATCTACGCGTTCATTAGCAAGTGCAATTACCCAGATGAAGGCTACGAGTACTGTATGAATACGACTGGACTTGAAACGGAGAGAGGCATTAGCCTCGGTGGATTTAAAAACGGAAGTGAAGATCACTCAGGACGGTGATGAATACTGCTGAGAGAAAATTGCTGAGACCGTAGCGATGGCCACAGCGCACGCCAATATGGTTAAGTTGCTTCCTCGTGAACGAATCGGTTGGTGGTCGTCGAAACGATTTGACCAACGAGTGAGAATGAGAGCGATAGTGCGTGGGGCAGTGAACGGTGTGGGTATATGTATATTGTTGGACACTGGCGCCAACGTGAGTATTATTTCGACCAAATTGGCCAAACGGCTACGACTACAACATATCATAGGACATGGACGACGGCTCGATGTGCAGCGTATCAAGAACGAGTAAATGTTTACGAGCATTCTTGTTGTCGCCAAGATTGCTCTGGGATGGAATACTGTATATGAGTTCGATTTCCGAGTAATGGAACATAGCGCAGGCTAGGAAGTGGTGTTGAGCATCGATTTTATGATTCCAGCCGGAATTCGTTTGGTTTTATTTCATGCAACAGCTAAACTACCGGATGAAGTGATGATACCACTCGTCAAGTACAAACCTTGAATGATGACATTCCTGAAGGGATGCATGGGGTAGGAGGCCCGAACGATAACTGGCAGATTGCCGCCGGGAATGGGTGGACTTCCGGCTTCAACGAACAAATCATCGCTGGGAACCCACGATGTGTGGGTTCGTCGAACTCCAGCTTTTATTTCAACTATTACTAAGTTCAGGAAGAAGCAACCAATATGGGTTCAATAGACCAATATCTCACACCACGCCGAATACTGTCCAGCACATTTGAGTGTGGTCATGTGGGTGCCACGAGGTGCCAAATAGGACTAGATATGTGCAAGTGGGGCACCAAAATATGAAGAATAGCAAGTTATAGTCTGTACAGGCTCACCATACGAGACTTTGTTTCTTTGGGAATGCGAGTTTTACGAGAAGTGGCTGGCGTCGCAAGCATCGATGGTAGATCGACGACCTTATACAATACCAACGAGTATCCTTTAACGATCCGAGGAATCGTCTAGCGAAGCTGACGAAGAAGTTCATGACGACGCTGAGTGGAGTATGCGCTGAATATTGTTGATCCCAGGGATTGTGTTGGTGAATGGTTGGTAGATCGCGGAAGTCCTGAAATGGTACGAGTTGTCTGTGATATTGAATATCAACAACCATGACCCCTTAAACAACGAGCTCGGCTAATATCACTGAGATATCTGCAAAAGCTATATGAGCTGCTTAAAGGCCTGCTGAAGGCTGAGTTCTTTGTCTTCTCCGATAGCCCATGGGCTTCACTAATCGTCATTGTTGTGAAAAAGAATGGCCAAGATACCCGGCTCTGTATTGATTACAAAATGGTGGATACGGTGACACCAATCATGGAGTACTCTATGCCAGTAGTTGACGACTTGTTAACAGAACGGGAGAGCTATCTGTGGTTCTGCTCTTTAGATGCATCCAGTGGATGTTAGGCTATATTGATGACGAAGAGTGCTCCGAAAGTGTCAGCATTCGTCTGCGCACTGGTGCACTTTGAGTGGCTTCGTATGCTATTTGGGCTTATAAAGACTCCAATGATATACCAATGAATGCTCGGGGACATTGCCCAGCCAACGGGTGGCTGGAAACATTCTGCTGAACGAATGCAAGAGGCATAGACTGAAGCCATTAATCAGCGTTCAAACAATTCGTCGGGTTGGAAGCTGATGAATAGTCGAACCAAATTCCATGCTCATCGCGAGTCATCGTTGAATTGGATCCAGTATTGCAACTGGTGAATGATCCTGCAGCTGACATGTTTACAACAAATGAACCTGACGAGTCATCGTTGATACCGTTCTTCCAACGACGATCATTCGTGGACGATATCTGCTTCGGCGGAGCTACATTTGACGACTGTCTGAATACCTTGGACAAGTTATTGAACTGATTTGAGGAATGCCGGATCAACGTAAGTTTCATCAAGAGTAATTTTGCTACTCGAAGGTTGATTTCCTGTCTCACAAAATATCACCAGAAGGAAAAAAGGCTGACGTCAACAAGGCTGATGTCAAAAAGGTTGATGCCAAAAAATGGCAGCGATTTCCAAGTTATCGTTCCCCAAGACGAAACGAGGCATGCAGCAGTCCCTTGGAGCACTGAAGTATTACACTTTGCAGACTTCTGAGCGGCGCCGTACCAGCTCAATAACGAAGATCTCGAAACAGTGAGTAACTTGTCGGCAACGAAAGAAAGTTCCGCGTGCTCCGGCGCAAAGTGGCTGAGGAACCGATACTGAGGCATTTTGACGACAAGAAGGAAGTGCACGTCATGTTATATGCAAATGAGTGGCGTTTCGTGCGACCCTCATCCTCATGCAGATGCACGACGACAAGTTACGCCTTGTTCGGTTATGTGGGTGAGTTATCAAAGACGCCGAAATACACTATTACTCGGGTGAAAAGGAAGTGCTCGCATTACTCCTATTACTGAATGTGTGCTACACTCAATTGACCGGTAAAACACTGCATGTGTACACGAGGTACCCCACGTTGGCGTGGGTGCACAAGTCAAAGTGTTTGTTTGGTCGCGCGGTGCAGTTTGCAGTGCTGCTGTCTTCTTGTCTGCTTGAAGATCAGAGAATAAGAGAGAAAGACTGTTTATTTTCGAAATTACTCCAGTCGAGGATTACTAACTTTGTCGATGTAGATGAGTAGGCCACGGACGAAACGGTCACCGAGCGCTCGGATGGATCTCAGTCTACTGAATGCACAGCACCTTTGATGGCTCCGCGAAGACCGAAACGAATAGTGGATACGGGAGCTGCTCCTGGATAGTGTGAAAGTTGCCCAAATGGCATATAGTGATCGCTGCGAGTGCCTACCTTGAGGTTACTACGGTGAATATGGCTGCGTACAATTAGATGAACAATGGAGTGCTTGCTGCACTTGACCATGGAGCTGAACACTTAGTTCTAGTTGTTGACTCAAGGTTGGCAATCTACCGACACCGAGAACTCATAGCCAAGTTGAAGTCAGTTCGATACCTGCCTGTGGTTCGTGAATACAAAGCAACCGCTGACTCGCTCGCTGGGGAAGGACTGGAATCGAAGGTGTCCAAGGTGGTCCACCGAAAGTTGGAGCTAAAAGATCTTAACCGAATCCAAGAAATGGTCTACGAGTCGTCTTCGGACGGGAACAGGGTCACGAAGGGTGAGGCAGAGAATTTCATGCAAATTGCGCAAGGAACAACACAACAAGTTAGCGTTCCAAGTGGTGAAATCATCATACAAGGCAAGACATTCACCGATATCGTGCCATGAATTACAGCAATGACTAGAAGCCAAGTTCGGAAGAAGAGCAAGAGACTCCACTTCGAGGATGAACCCGAAGCCAGTGCAGTAGAAGCTGAGACTCAGGCTGAAGCACTGACCGATAACGCACAGACAGAGACATAGCGAACTAATGTTGAGGCACAACACACGCCAAATGCTGATGATATCGACCCTGTAGCTGTACAAGAAGAACGACGTAGGCGAATTTCCAAAGCACAAGATGAAGAGCAGAGGTGGCCAATACTTAAGGCCATCATCAGCTATGAAACCGAAACGATGAGCTACAAGGATGCTCGAGATGCGTGGAAATGGTGTGACAAGTTCATCTTATCCAGTAACAACATACTCTATTATGTTGTTGCAACTAGACGGAAGTCGGAAGATGACCAACCGGAGTTGGTGTTGAGACTTGTGGTACCGACAACTATGATTCAAGAAGTGCTGCAGAATTGTCATGACTCTATTGAGGGTTGCCATCAAGGTGTCGTTTGATCGATCAGATAGTGAAGCATGACTACTACTGGATTGGGCTTTATGCAGACGTGGGAAAACATGTGAAGTCGTGCCTTGACAGTAGCTCGAGTAAGAGCGCATCACAGCTCAAAGGCTACTCACCTGGCAATGTGTTCGCAGAGCGACCATTCCAAGTGGTGTGACGGATTTTGTCACCCCGCTACCGAGATCGCCTCGGGGCAATACAGCCCTACTACGCAGACAGTGCTCGTCCGCTGGGTTTGTCATTACTAAAGCAAGGTCAGACACTGACGCGCTAACAGTAGCCAACGTCTTCAAAGAGTGTACCCAAATTCTTTTCACCTTCGCTGATACGCCATGACCGTGACCCTCTCTTCATGGGCGAAGTGCTTCGAGCATTTGCTGAGTTGATACAAGCGAGGACATGGTCTAAACTGAGTTGTTGTGCGCAGGCAAGTGTCCAGCAGGAACGCTCAATGATAATAGTTACGCAGGCAGTGAAAGTCTATGTCGAAGACCCATTGCACCAAGACTGGGATGAAATTGCAGAGCGACTTGCATTTGCTATTAACAATTCACATGACATGAGGAGAAAAAAGACCCCATTCTGCCTAGTGCACTGATGAGATGCCCACACGACTCTGAGTGCAATGCCAACCACGCTGAAGCGCGGTATTGACAGGCAATCAGAAGCACTTGCATGTAAGCGAACAATAACCGCCAACAACAAGTTGCGCTCGAGATGGCTAAAGAATTCCAGGCCACAGAGAAGGCAAAATGGGCACAAGAACGCAATGAGAAACCCAGCCGCAAGGAGCAAGCGGCTTGCCCTCAGCGGAGCAATGACAGATCAGTTGACGGTAGTTTAAACCCACCGTCTTTGTTCCAACCAAAGAACATAGTATTGCTCTATATGGAGCGTGTCAAGCCAGGGTTAGTCAAGAAACTAGCCCAGCGTTGGCATGGACCATATTGCGCGTATTAAGCGCAAAGTGGAGAAGTTTGCTTACGAGCTCGAGTTGTCGTACAAGAGTTGATACCGATAGTCCATGTGCCACGACTGAAAGCTGTGAACGATTTCTGTGACCGACCTAAGCCTCAACTAGCGCAAGATATTACTGAGGATACGCGATTTGATTTTGACGAAGAACTATTTCCTGAAGCCAGCTGGGAACTTGACACGGTTGCTGGCGAATTTGATGTCGAAGCAGTCTTCAATGACCGAACTCCGATGTCAACGAGTACTGCCAGCCAGTGGGAGAGTTTGAAGTCAAGTGGATTGGTTATGAGGAAACGACATGGGAACCTGCGGCAAATATCTCTTGTGGTGGTCTCTTGTACGATTACTTACGAAATAAAAGGAGCGAACACCGGCTCCAAGTGGCCCAAGTTGCTGACGAGGACTAGTTAAAGTTATCACTGTGAATGATCTGGCTGTGAGGCGGTGCAGCTCAAAAGTCCAGACGAAAAAAGGTACTGCAAACCAACAACACGGCATGAATTTGGTTTTACATGAATAACGAAATGCGCCTCAATATTGAAGTAATTAAGAAAGAACTACAAGCTACTCCGCAAAACTTGAACATCAACGAAAACCGGAGGATCGGTAGCTTGGTAAAAACCCGGGACGTACAGCTCCACCGTCCCTCCAGGACAGAGCTAAAACTACATCTCAGCACTACGAGCTTCATCCAGCGGAGCTTCAGCGTCGGAACCCTGACCCAACTTCATGGCCTCGTTCGACGCGGAAGAAATAGTGGGAGAACCAGGAAGAGCAGGTGTCGACGAAGACTCATCGTCGACGGCTTCACCGTCTTTACCTTCTGCTCCTCTTTAGGATCATTGCCGAAGGCGATATTCCACGAATGGGTCAATTTTGGCAGGGTCCACCGAAGGGTCAGTTGCTATAACTGGACTGACAGTCTTAATGGTGTATCCATTTGGAAGGAATAGCAGGACCATCGCATTGCAGGGTACGAACACCGTGTTATATGGGTGCTTCTCTGGACAATTAAAGCAACCGACACGCCATGGCTCCTGAAGATCCAGTGCTTGACATTCAGTACACCAGTAAGCGGTCTTCGGTATCGAGGGCATGATTTCCAGAGAGTAAATCGGCATAGAAGGTTCCAATATAGTGTGAGAAGGGACAAACTCCTTCTCAGGAGAGTACCACAACGAAAGACGACTCAGATAAAACTGGCGCAAGTTGGCGGCGCGCGAAGCACGTTCATTGTCATACTCAGTTCACTGATGCCGCAGTTCATCCAGTGTGGCCAGAGCATGCTTGTGATCACGAACACTCCACTGAGTCATCTTTGAAATGTCTTCTTCCATGATCGTGAACTTTCGCTCAATAGCTTTCGCCATAATCCAATGCTTGCGTTCGTAATCGGCAATTTCAAGTGATGCCAAGTCCTGAACGTCATAACCACGTAAACGTCGCCAAATTGAGAGTAAACGTTCAGGATAACTGGCACGCTGGGAGATGTGTGAGTTCAAGTCGAACTTCTTGGTGTTAACCAAACACGCGTGCTCGGGATAGATTTTTCGCTGCATTTGGAAGGGATGAGTGCTATCCATAAACGACGTGAACTTGGATAGATGTTTCTTGGTGCACTTGATGCTGGCATCGAGCTGGCACAGCTTGACGCAAGAAAGCCTCCTCCAACTTGATCAGCACTTTAGTGCACCAGGACGAGAGAACACAGGAACCACAAGTGAGCGGATCTTAGTCATGGAACGCTTAAACATCTGGGCCAAGTCAGGCTTCCCAACACCAGTGACGGCAACCCCGATATGTCAACACTTGACCAGCTAGATATTTCTCGAGGCTGGGGTGGCTGAACTTTGACCGACGACTTCTCTGTATTCACTGCAGGAGTCTTCTTGACCTCGGACTTGGCCTTCTTCTCACTTGTAGCTGGAAAAAGCTTTAGTGGAGGAACCTTGGCATCGACTGGGGCAGAAGACTTGGTGGAAATAGCCACAGGAGAATCATTTTCCAACGACGAGTCAGAATCGCCGTGGTCGTCTAAACACTCGGCCTCGGGCTTGCGTTTCGCGAGTTACGTGTCCTTAGCTTCGGCTACGTCGTCGTCGGAACCCGGAAGATCAAAATCAGCGTCGAAATCGGAATCAGAAGCTGAAGGGTCGTTGATAGTTATGACTGTTTTCGATGACGAGGTGTCAGGCGTAAGCTCGACGCGAGAAGTCTCCGCCACTGCCAAGGACTCCGAAGACTCGTCCAGAAACGCGGCAGGCAATGGCCCGCTTGGCTTTTCTTCGAAGATTGCTTCTCCATCCGAAACCAGCTGGAACTCCACGTGAAGAGATGACTGGAATACAGAGCGAGCCGCCGCCTTCTAGGAGTCAAACGAGGACTCGCCATTGAACTCGTAGAAGCCTGTGGGGCACAAACGAGTGCGAGTAGTTGCGCGTCGCGCGTTGGATGATAAAAGAGGAGGCGTTTGCACAATGGCAGCCGAATCTGGTTGGCTGGGAGCCGAGACAGATATGTCAACGACTGGTGAAGTGGCTGGCTTGGATTTCGCCGGTGGAGCCACAGTCATACCATGAGGCACAAGCACATTACCTGCTGTTTTTTTGTGGGGAGGAACCAGCAGACACAGCGGGAGGAGTTGCCGAACACTCACGGCTTCCCTCCATGTCCACATCCTCAGATCCGTCGCTAAACTTAACATCTTGGTCACCATTGTCACGCTGGGAGTGCTTGGCTTTGCGCTTCCCGGACGTCTTGCTAGACCATCGCTGAGTATAGGTCGCGGACGAAGACGAGGTCGATGTAACATGACTTGACGGCGAAGTAGCTGCAGGAGGAGATGCAATGTCCGACTCCTCACCAGCAGAGCAATCGTCACCGGATTTGAAGATAACTGGAGGACCTGTACGAGAACTGGATAGCAAGCGAGACGCAGGACTGGACTTGTCGCTGCAAGCTTTCGGCGATCGAGCATTGGGCGCCGCTTGAGAACTCGGAGAAGGAGTGGCTGCAGGTGACTTGGTTTGGGCAGAGCTGTCCTCGCTGGTCCTGCCAGGGCGTTGGCGATCGCTTGAATACGCGTACGTACACCCGAAGCGGGTGTGGCTCTGGTTTGGTTTCAGTAACCACTTGAATCACAGCCAAGCGATGATTTTCGCGCTTGGAGCGCGCGATCTCGTTAGCTAACGTGAAGTCATCTTGGGCATCGCGACAACGCTTGTACACTTGATGCAAGGCTTTGCAGGTGAGCGGATTAGACTCAATATCATCGCAGTCCAGTTCTTCAGCTTCAAGAGCTGAAATACAACGACAAATCAGTAAATGAGAGGATACAGCTGAAGTTACGTAGCGGATTACCTTCGAGCATGCAAAGAAGCGTCTCCGGACCCATCTCGTCGAGCCGAATTCGACACCGGTAAGACGAAGCTGTTTCCGGAGACGCTTGTTTTCGGCGACCAACTTGCGAACTCGGAGCGTCTGACTGAGAGATGTCTCATCGGGTTTTGAGCGCGATAACAGCGCGTTTAGACGAACGAAAGACGATTTGTACTAGACAATCTTGCGCTTGAACACTTCTCGAGTAGTCTTCAGGTCATTGGAGAGAGCGACAGAGTTCGCGTACGCGAGCTTGAGTCGATTCTCCAACTTGTAATACATCTCTTGGTGGTCTTCAATCGTTACTTGCATGTCGACAAACTGCTGGTGCAACGAGATCTCGCGGCCTTTGACCCATTAATCTCCGTGAACGCAGCCTCACGCTCAGCCGCCGGACGTCTCTCTAGCGAACAGCTCAGCGTTCTCTCGGAGCTGCTGCTCCGGAAGAGCTTCTTGGCGAGTGACAGCCACTCCGCGTCGCAGGACGACAACTGAGCATGCAAATCAGCAATCTCGTGGACCGACGTCCCAGGTATCGGGGCGTCGGAGTATCTCGACACAGCGACGAGGTCCTGTAAGGTGGATGCATCTCGGAGTCGCTAGAGAAACAGACGCTGACCTCGCACCTCAGGACACCACGGCAGCTCGCCAGTAAAGTAACAGACATCCGCGAGGCAGCTCTCGACATAGACCGACGTCTGGTTCAATGTCTTCTGCGACTCCAACATATCAGCCAAACGAGCTTCCGTGAACGGCACTGCGGAAATGTGGTGAAATGGATCGGAAATCCCACGTGAATAAGATTGATTGACGGAAAACTCAAAAAGGGTTTTATCCGGAACAATGACCATATATCCGGATCTGGTTGGTCCGGATCCTCCATGAGAACCGATGACTAGTGGCGAGCATGGATTCGTGGAAATAGGAATGCGAAGGATGAGAACATGAAGGGGCCACTGTGGATCCATCATGCGGAGGCCCGGATCCGCGAGTAGGGAACGTTGGTGAGTACTCGAAAAGTTAGGGTGACGCGGAGCCGGATCCGCAACGAAGTATCAAGATCCGGACGGATCCTGAATATGTTTG